GGCGAGGAGCGAGAGAGAGACGGGATCCTGGGCAGCCAGGCATAGGCCTGGCCTGTGGGAACTGTTGGGAGGGCAGAGCTATTAGTGCGGCTGGCGCGAGGAAAACGGACTAGAGAGTGGTCCTCTGGTCCCTTGTGGCCTGGTAGCCTGCGCGCGCACCCGGAGCTCTGGGTGCAGGATTGAGGCTGTTCAGTGTTTTCCAGGGCGAGAGCTGCCCGGTAGGGGGGCGCACCAAAGGGTGCGAGTTTAACCGGTTTGGAAGGGCTTGGGCGGGGTGAGCGAGGACGTGGGCGGCGGGCACTCGGGTGGGGAAGGCGCCCGGCGGATCCAGGGCTTCCTCGCTCACGTCTGCAGCCTCAAACTAGGGAAGAGAACAAACACAATTGTACTCAAGTCAGACTAAGAATGTTCCAGAGGGGACTGAAGGGGATCTTCCTTTGGCCTTCTTATTTCTTCCTTTAACGGATTGCTTTTGCTCTGAACCCTGGAGAGATGAGTTCTCCAACCGCGCCAGTCACTCAGGCTCCCAGAGGGCACGCGTCACCGGGTTACTTAGCCGTGTATTCACATGTCATTTACAGCGTTATTCAAGTGGCTATTCTGTGTACGTTCCCTTCGGTATGTAATCATTAAAAAGAAAGGACATGCTACCTGGAAATGGCTGCTTCCTCAAACTCTTTTTGGAGCACATTGCCAAGTGTCGAATTAGTTAAAGATTAAAGAGCCTGTAGCATCCCAGTGGATACACTGAGCTATTGCTGATGAAAACTTGGATTCTGGGCTTTTCGTGACCTCCTCTGCGGTTTCATTCCCAACCAATTTGACTGTTGCTGCTTTAAGTCCCAGGGGCGCGCTCAGCACAAGCAGTAAATTGGATAAGGTAGAAGGTACTTAATTTTTTAATTATTATTATGAATTGGGTGAAGCTTTTACATTTCAGATCACCCGTTTTGTATTCAACAGTTTAATCAAACTCCCCACTAGTTTCCCCTATCTCCTCCTTTGATTTCTCCCACTTACAGATTAGTATCTTCCCTTTCACCCAAGTTAATACCTGTCAACCCTCTGTCTATTGCTTCATCTTCCCTCCTTTGCCCTCCCACCCCCTTGTTAAGCTCCAAAGTCTGTTCCCTTTCCTATGAGAATCTTTGTCTTGTTTTCCTTTCCCCTCATGACAGTGGTCTCATACAAGACGTGTACCCTTTTGTGATTGACTAATTTCACTCCGCATAATGTTCTCCAGAGGCTTGAAGGAGCTTGTAAAACCAAGACCAGCATTACCTAAATAAATAAGTAGATACATAAGTAAAAGGGAACACTTTGAGCAGAAAATTAGCAACAGCAACATACCAACCTGAGATCAACAGACAAGATAATAATACCACCCAGAAATCAACGCACTTAAAATAGTATTCAAAGAAGAAATATGGGAAGAACAGAAAAACCAATAAGCACTAAAACCACAGAGCAAAATGACAGTAACAAGCCCACACATATCAACCACACAGAAGCACTTTGGAAGTGAAATGACAGACAGCTAAGGTCAAGAGGAACGCATTGCTTCCTGAGGTCCATGTCCTTGCTATGTGCACCTGCTAATAACCCTCTTGATTGCAGGTGGTGGTCACCCAAGTCAATGTATTTTAGACAAAAATAAAAGGGTGAGGGGAGATTCCCTGATTCTCCTGAAATCAGGGATGCATCCAGAGCTCATATAGTGTCAGCAGGATATGTTTCCCTCTGCACTTTCCTCTCTCCTGGCTATGTTTTCAGGCGGTCTCTCTCTCTCTCTCTCTCTTTATGTGTGTGTGTGTGATCATCCCATTCCATGACAAGAATTCCCATCTGTCCAGCACTTGGCTATACTACAGCACCTTTGTGCCTGTGAGCCTGTGGTGGAATGGGAAATAGTTGGTTTAGAAGAGTGAGAAGCACTTGTTGAGCAGAACACCTTGGTAGGTTATTGAAGGACATCCTGGGGAGCTGGCCAATTGGATTAGTGGTAGAGGAACCATATATTTCATTTCATAAACCCACACACTTTGGAGGGTAAGAAGAGACAATAAGCATTAGTTGGCACTCTTTCCTGTAAATCTATGAATATATTCCCCTTAGGTAGAAATGAAGGTATGCAGTAACAAAGCCACTGTGTATTTTAAAAAAATATAATAATGAAATGTCTAAATTTAAAAATGAGTGATGATTATACCAAATGCTGATTATACCCTGAGTTAGTTGATTGTGCCAACCTGGCTGATAAACACATGCGGGGCTAACTGAAAGGCGGAGGGATAAATGGGTGGTGGAACCTCACCTTTTTAGTTCTTTTGTCTCTTGCTATGTGATGTTCGTACCAGGGTGCAGCTGCCTTAGCCAGTTCCCTGCTTCAGCTTGTAAGATTGACTTCCTACAAGACATCCCCAAGGAGAAGCCACATGGACCTATCCCGATGCTGCCCTGGGTGCTGGAGCAGCCGTGTGGAGACCCCTGCTAGTGCTGAGATGCTTATTCCTTCACTGACTCAGCTTTCCTCCTGCAGTCTGCGTCATTGCCTCTGTTTTGTGAGGTGGAGGACTTTGTGGAATGGTGTTGGGTTAATGGGTTACTGTTGGACTTGTGGGCTTGGGCAGCATTGGGTTGGGATGTTTTCATGATGCACACTTTCTTTACTAAAACTCTCTTATACATGAGTTGCTGTGGATTTGTTTCTCCAAAGTACCCAGACTAATACATACCCACTTAAACTGTCAGGCATTGGTTGTACACATAACCGCTTTGGAAATCAGTATGGCAGTTTTCTAGAATGCTGAACCCATACCTACCATACCACCCAGCCATTCCATTCTTCAGGTTTTACCCCCAGGAAATGAAAGCCTAGTTCCAGGAGTGTTTTGGAGAGCTTTACTGGTCCAAAACCAGCAACAACTCAAGTCTCACAGAAAGTGATTAGATAAACAAATCATGGTATATTCATACAATGGAATAGAGTCCTGGTGGCCTAGTGAGTTATGTGTTGGGCTGCTAACCACAAGGTCAGCAGTTCAAAACCAGTAGCCACTCTGTGGAAGAAAGATGAAGCTTTCTATGTCTGTGAAATTAGTCTTAGAAACCATGGGAACAGTTCTACTCTGTCCTATAGGGTGGTCATGAGTCAAAAATTGACTTGATGGCAGTAAGTAGTGAGATACGATGGAATACTACTTATCCATAAATCATTTATACATACGCTAACATTGAGGAAGCTCAGTCATTCTACTGAATGAAAGAAGTCAGGCAAAATGAGTCCATTTATATAAAACTGTCATAAATAGAAATTATTTAGAGAGAGTCAGATAAGCAATTGCCTGGGGATGGCAGTAGATCAAATAGGGAAATTTTGGAGTGTGGTTAGGGAGAGATGGTTTCATATGTCAAAACATGCTGCATTCTTTAAATACATGCACTTTAGTGTACTTCAATTGTATTGCAGCAAGTTGGGACGAATCTTGAAAAAAGAAAAAGAAATGTTCTCTAAAAAATATAATAATAATTGGAAAGGATTCGAGTGAGTCAGGGTCAAGAGGATGAATTTGAAGGGAGGTGAGCACACTTCCACTGCCATCAAGTGGTTTCTACCTCACGGTGACCCTACAGGACAGAGCAGAACTGCTCCTGAGGGGTTTTGAGACTAAATATCTCTGGGAGCAGACAGTGTTACTTTCAGAAGTCTTAACATTAAAGCTGTATGGGAGCAGGCAACCTCATCTGTCGCCCTGGAGCTGCTAGTAGGTTTAAACTACCAACTTTGTGTTTAGCAGCCCATGGCTTACTCTGCTGCTCCACCAGGGGTCCCGCTGGGCAGGGAAGGGAAGTTCCCCCCCCCTTCCCCCCGCAACCTGAGTCTGGGGCTAACAGAAGAGAACTCTTTAGGAGGAATAAGGCAACCGAGTTCAATTCAGGTAGCTTAAGGATAGTGACAAGGGTAAAAGGTAAAAGGGTTCAAGAAAGATTCAGAATTCACTGGAAGCAGAAGGCAAGTCCGGATCTGCAGTGATCTGGTGAGATAACTGATTTCAAGGATCCACACTGAGAGTGGGACCTTTACTGGGAGTTCCATCAGGAGGCGGAGGAGGGCTGGACTGCATCCCAGTTGCCTCTTGCAAGACATTTGCAGTGCCACT